ACTGATGTACCAGCATAGTCTTATGTATCTCTACTGTCCGACCTCTATCAGTGGCCAGAGGTTCCAGCAGATATGTTGTCCTTGTCTCACAGGACAAACATATCCAGCGTGATTACCCAGGCTTCACCTCATCCAGTACTGTTGTCCGGATAATGAGAGACAGACTGAGGCTAGTTTGTAGCAGGCAGCCTGGATGAAGGAATGGAAAGACAAGCATTAGGTGGGACAAGGGGGTATCTTTCCTTCGGGATTTGGTGGAGGGTCTGGAACCCAGCAAATGGTCTTTCCGACCTCTCCTGGGCAGCCAGTTTGGAAATATCTTAACATTATAGTGGCCCAGTACAATTGGTCTCCCTGCTGACAAGGTATCTTTTGAAAGTAGCATGTCCGGGGGACCAATTGGTGTAGTTGGAGCATACCCAATATGACACACTGGTTACAGACCCAGTTTGCCAGAGCCAGATAGGTCGTTGTGGCCAGCACCAGTGCGAGTAAGGCACAAACAGAGGGGCCCTGTCTCTCTAGACCTCCACCTATCATGACTGGGTGCTCGTTTGAGCCTGGAGATATGGTACCATGGGGAGTGTCCCAATAGCTTGGCAGCCGTGGGAGTGGTAAGGATCACCGTGTATGGTCCCATCCACCATGGTTAGATGACCAAGGTTGGAGTTCTTTAAGAAGGACTTCATCTCTCGGCTGCAGAACCTCCGTGATTCCTGGATCCGAGGGGGAGGTGGGTTGAGGCAGGAACTGGACTGCGTGCTCCCTGAGATGTCTTAGGAGTGAGAAGTAAGGTAGGTAGGAGACTAGAGGGGGTGGAGTTGTAGTCAGGCATGTGTTTAGAAGGAAGGGTCTACCATATATTAACTCAAAGGCACTTAGTCCGGTGGGTTCCCTAGGGGCTGCTCGCAATCGGGTGAGAGCAATTGGGAGTAGGTCTGGCCAGGAGGTCTTTACCTCTAAGGAGAGTTTGGTAAGTTGATCCTTGAGAAGTCCATTGGCCCTTTCCACCTTACCCGAGGATTGAGAGTGATAGGGTATGTGTAGTTTCCAGGAGATATTTAGAGTCAGCCACCAGTTGTGTGACCTTTGAGATGAAAGCGGGTCCATTGTCCAACTGGAGCTACGTCGGGAGGCCAAAACGAGGGATGATGTGTTCCACCAACGTCTTTGCCACCACTGACGCAGTCCCTTGGCAGGTAGGAAAGGCCTTGATCCAACCTGAAAATGTATCAACATTGACCAGTAAATATCTGAACTTTTTCTGTCTAGGCATATAGGTAAAATCAATCTGCCAATCCTGTCCAGGTAGTGTTCCCTGCAGCTGGTGGAGGGCTGCATGGCGTTTGAGGGCACCTTGAGAAGAAACATGATGACAGGTGGTGCAAGCCATAGGTACCTGGTTAGTGGTCTTTTGGAGCCCAGGTGGGGCAAAGATAGGGGAGAGAAACCTGTGCATAGCCCCCGGACCAATATGGAGGAATTGGTAAACTGTAGAGATGATTTCCCTGGTCTGGGCCTGTGGAAGGGCTATCCTGTCCTTAAGATGTATCCACCCCTGTTGTTCAGCCATTCCACCCTGCTCTAAAAGTTGCTGTTTTTCCTCTTTGGAATAATTAGGAGTTATAGAGGGGGAGAGAAAGAATACTGGGGAATGATCAGGACCCGAGGTTAGTTGTTGGGCAGTAGCATTGGCTAGAGCATTCCCTTTAGTGACCGGGTCAGTACCTGTCTGGTGTCCCTGGCAATAAACAATAGCCACCTCCTTGGGTTCCTGTAAGGCCTGGAGTAGGTGATGAATTGTTTTACCATTTACAATCGCATAGTGAGGAATCCCCTTTCCTTCCAGATTGCCACATGGCTGTGTGCAATAGGAAAGCATACTTTGAGTTGGTGTAAATGGTTACTCTAAGACCTGCCATCAACTGTAAGGCTTGGGTGAGGGCTACTAGTCCTGCCTTTTGGAGGAGGTCCCCATTGGCAGGGGAGCCACCTCCACTATTTCTGAGGAGGAGGAAACTACTGCATAGGCTGCCCACCTGCACCCATTTGAATCTCTGAGCTTCCATCCACGAACAGAGTTAAGTCCTGGTTAGTGAGAGGCGTGTCCTGGAGACCCTCACATGGGAGTCAAAGGGTTTCCACCAGCTCCATGCAGGAGTGGCTGGGTGTGGCAGACGAACCGGCAGGAGGAAGGAGGGTGGTTGGGTGTAATGGTGGTGACACCTGTAAAGTTAACAGGGTGTTCAATAAATAGGAGGTGAAATTCCTGCATTCGTGATGGGCTGAGAGAGGGCAAAGATTTGTGTCCCAGAAGGTCCTGTAAATGATGTAAAGAGTATACTGTTTTCACCTGTAGGAGGGTTAGTTTCAGAGCTTCTTTGGTGAGGCATGCTGCCACTGCCAGGGCCCTAAGGGTTGCCACCCCTTGGTGGTGGGATCCAGTTGTTTTGACAGGATCAGTGTCCCGGTCCTGCTGGCTGTACCAGCACCCCGGTTGCTATTCCTGTCTTTTGTGTAGTATATAGGAGAAATGGTTTGTTAGGGTTAGGCAGCATAAGTGGAGTTGAGGAGAGGAGGGCTTATTGGTCGGGTTGGGGCATCTCTTTGCAAGTCATGGCCGCACTGGAAGGAAGATCCCAGAGGCTCACGAGCTCCAGACTGGTCTTTGGTGTGATGAGACCTCTGTTCCGTCAGTTGTGGAGCCGCTGCGAAGGCTCAGGTCTGGGATGCCATCCTCCTCTCATGTTCTTCATCATGAGTATTAAAGACTTTAAAGGTCATGGTTACCAGGTTACAGAGTGGAGTCTGGGACCCCTCCTCTGCCTTTTTGAACTTACATCTTATGTCTGGAGTTGACTGGGTAATAAAATGAGTAACCAACATCGTGGATCCCAAAGATGAGTCAGGGTCAAGGTGGGTATGTATAGAGAGAGCCTCGGTGAGCCGGTTAAGGAAACAGGCTGGGTTCTCATCAGGTCTCTGAGTAATCTCTCTGAGCTTATCATAATTAATGGCCTTTTGAGCCATCTTATTCATACCTGCCAGTAAATACTGGAGTATTTGGTCCCACTAAATTTCCCCATCTTGGGTATTATAGTCCCATTGGGGGTCTGTGAGAGGAACTGCCTCCATCCCAATTGGCTCAGTCTGATTTGTGTTATGTGCCTCATTTGCACAATGTCGGGTGGCGGAGGTAACACAGTCATATTCCTCAGAGGTAAGAGTGGAGGTTAGAATAACATGTATATCATGCTAGGTAAGTTCGTAGGCCCGAGTTAGGTAGTCAAACTCTTTGGTATAAACTGTGGGGTTTGAGGAAAAAGAGCCCAGGCATTTCTCAATCTGGGAAAAGTCTCCTAGGGAAAAAGGGGCATGAACCTGGACAACCCCTTCTGCACCTGCAACCTCTCGGAGAGGGGCTACTAGTTGGGCGTTTGTTTAGGGCGGCCACTGGGCCTTGGATCTGGTGACCGGAGGGCTAGACCAACTGGGCACTAAGGGCAGCGTGGGCACATAAGATGGTGGTGGGGTGGGAACAGGAAGTGAAGGACAAGATGGTGACGACGCCAGAAGAGGAGGATACAAACAGGGAACAGGGGTGTGGTGAGGGGTGTAGGGTTGGGAGAGAAAGGAGGTATGTCTGTGCTGGGAGGAGTCTGGTCCATGGCTTCCAGAACTGGAGAGCAGGAGGAGCCTGTTCTGGTGGGGAAAGAGGGTGGTGAAGGCAGAAGGAGAGGGGGAGGGGGTGGCGCAGACACCAGAAGGAGAGAGGAGCAGGAAGACAGCGTGGCTGAGAACAAAGAACCCAAAGATAGCGGTGAAGCATGTGAGGACAAAGGACCTAAAGATGGCGGCAATGCATGTGAAGACAAAGAACCTAAAGATGGTGGCGTGTGGGTGAGGACAAGGGACCTAAAGATGGCGGCGACGCGTGTGAGGACAAGGGACCTAAAGATGGCGGTGACACGACGGAGAGGGGATCATGGGCTAATGGAGGTGGGCAACTGAGGTCCTCCGGTGGATCTCAAAAGGAGGAAGGACTGGGCAGAGTAAGAGACTGACAATCCTTAACTGGAAATCGGGCCAGGAGAACCTGGGTCATTGAACACTTAATGTAAAGGTCAGGGTGGGAGTGCAATGTCCACAAGTCCTGGACATATGGGACTTCAGACCACTTCCCATTTCAGTGACAGAAGTTAGTTAGGTCAGTGAGGAGGCTAAAATCGAAAGTTCCCTCCGGGGGCCAGTGAAATTGATTGTCCAGAGGATACTGGGGCCAAGTCTGGGAACAGAGTCAGACCAGTTTCCATTTATGGGTCTCCTCCACTATATCTAGGGTCACCAGATTGTATATGAGACACCACAGAGAGGTCTGAGCCTCCAGTTTAGAGGACTGGTTCCCCATGTCTGTTACCTGTTCCCTGGAGCCCCTAAACTGGCGAGCCCAGCATCCCATACTTGCTCAGGTTAGGAGGAGACAGGGAAGTATTGTACTCTTCCCCGGAGATCTGGGAGCCCGTATGAGGACATCTCCTCTGTCTCAGGACCAGGACAGGCTTAATGCCCAGAGAACCTGGATGTAGCTACGATTTTGAAGTTCACCGAACCAGGTGGAGACAGGACTGGGACAACAGACCAGAGGAAAGGAGGGACTCACCAAATTGCCGTCCGAGGTGCTGAGAGTAGGCAGAGGTCCCAGATCGGGGAAGGAGGTGTGGGAGCTACCAGTGGCTGGCTGGAGCCCTGCACCTTATCTCCTTCCCGGGTTTCGGCACCAGATAGATATAAGGTAAGATCGAGCTGAAATGACCAGGCAAGGAGGCAACAAAGGAGCCTAAAGTTTAATAGGGTGCAATCCTGGGCGATGTTCACTGGTCTGCTTAGTCACAGGCTGGAGGAGTTGCACTCAGCAGGGCAGGCAGTGAGTTTATAAAGAAGTTAGGGGGAGGGACACCATAGGTCTACCGTGGTGTGAGGATTGGCTAGCCTAAGGCACGTGTCATTAGCCTTTACAGTAGACAAAGGACTAGAAAGTTACTACTCCTTTCCTAGGTTGGGAGGGGGCAGCAGCCGGGGACTTTGGCACTTCATCAGGCCAGAATCTATTGGTCTCTTTCCCTTACTAGGCCAGGGTTGGGGGTTTTTGCTGCCCCCTTTCCTTATTTGGTGAGGGCTGAGCTCATCTGACATGCTCACCCCTCCCTCCGGTGCCTCCAACCTTACAGGGAGAAGGTCAGATTCTTCAGTACATGCAACCAGGAGGTTTAGCACTGAGGATAGCAGTGAAGAGATAAAGCAAAGTGGTATGAAATTTGAAAGGAGGAGGGGTTTTTAAACAAGGAGAAGGAATAATGAATTAGAAACAGGAGTGAGCAACCAGGAGTGTGCATCCCAGTCTCTATGCTGTTTTACCTGGAGCATAGGACAACAGGTGGCCCCATTGGAAAGGGCAGCAGAGAGGGAAGTGTCTGTGGGAAACAAGGAAGTGGACGAAGCATTTAGGGAAGTCGTGGGGGCTTCCAAGAGTTTACTGTGGGATGGGGGCCTGAGGGAGAAGTTGGAGAGATAGAGGAATTGGAAGGGAGCGGAAAAGATAGAGTTGAGGAGCTCAAGGAAGATGGGTACACAGCGTGGTGACCAGAAAGGCCAAGAATAATAATGGGGACAATGATGGGGAGCTTGCTGGCTGTGTACTAGACACTACTTGCTCTGTAGCTGTGTATACCTGGCGATATACCTGATCCTTCACTCCCCTAATACTTGTTGATTCCCTCCTATAAAGTTGGTATTGTGCCAGGTTTTAGAGACAGAAAACAGGCACAGTCTCACCTCTTAGAGTACTTACAGTCTAGTGGGGAAGGAGGACACCAAACACATCAGTTCCAAATGATGTGTGATATATGCCATGGCAGAAGGTCAGCATGCTCGGAGATACACAGGCCAGGTTGGAGGCACAGAGGAGTGATCTGTCTACAGGGATTCAGTGCTGGGGTTCAGCTGGAGAACCTTGGCAAAGGGGTTTAGGATGATGGCCTGAGGTCCACAAGCCTCAGCACCATGGGGTTCATGTTTGGAGAATCTGCTTTGGGGATTCTATCTTCATGGCACTGGGTCAGGTAAGACTGAGGTCCACTTTTATTCGGACTGTCATTGGTCAACAGCGGTTGGAGAGATTAACCTCTGGGATACGTGATAGAGTGAGAGCTATCCTCAGCTTGTTGCCTTCATGAGATTTTCAAGTATTGTTTTCATCATTTAGTTTCATGTACCAGTTTTTCAAACTTGAGTTTTCTATTTGGAACTTAGGAAAATTTACTTCTCTCTGAAACTTAGGAAAAAGGTATATTAGGGAGAACAGAGAAGTGAGAAACCCATCATGAGTTTTGCCACGAGGGTCCCCAGTGAAGTAAAACGAGGGCTCCACATTGGAGAAAGGGTGATCCCTCTGGAAGGGATGACAGGTAAACTTAAAGTGCCCCATCTGTCAGTGCGGAGGAGAGTTTCGTGACTGCACTTGCAGGGGGTTCAGCGCCGGAGTGGGGGCTCGGCCCCCTCATGTGGTCATTGAGCACCCTGGCATCCTCCTCACCAGAGAAGGCTGGTGCCCCTAGTCAAGCAACTTGACAACTTCAAACCTGTTCTAATTAAATTTCTAATCATAAAATATTTAAGCTAAGATAGATTACTTTTCTCTTTAATTTCTAACATGTTAGCCCAGTTTTTTGGATTCTTGGTTTTTCTGCAGCCTCATAGTGCAGAAAAAAGGTGGTAGATTTGGATTTAGGAGGCAGGCCTACATTGTAGTCCCAGCTTTAAACATGTGAGCCTTCTGAGCTAGCATACATCTCTCAATCAACCTAATCCTTTACTTTTTCATCTGTATAATGAGGAGAAAATAGTGCCTACCTCCTAGGGTTGCTGTAAGGATGAAGTCCCTAGCACAGTACCTTGCACATAGTAAGTGCTCAACTTATGTTACCTGTTAGTATTCTTATTTTTATTATTGTATTACCATATAGCCATTATTATTATTGGTATAATAGAAATTGAGATGAGGTCTCTACTACAGGAAGCTGGTAAATCTCTCTTTTCCCCTTCTCCTCTCTCTTTCCTGCCCCCACTGTCTCCCTTCCTCTCTGTGTCTCAACAGACAGGATTCAGTCACTTTGTAAAGCACTTGCAGTTCACCGACTGACCAGACCATGGCACTCCTGCCTCAGTAGATGGTTTTATACAGTATGTTCCTATGTGAGGAAGAGCCACCTTACAGGACCCATTATTGTTCACTGCAGTGCGGGTGTGGGCCTGACGGGGGCGTTCCTGCATGTGGATGTTGTGTTCTGTGCCATTGAAAACAATTTTCCATTAAGTGTATAAATTCAGCAAATATACCACTGTTAGTAAACGCTACTTTTAATAGCCTTCTAATATCCAAAGACTAATGTTTGGCCTTCAAGAGCTGCTCAGTAAACATACAAGCCTTGGGTACCTGCTTTTCACTTAACTGCTGCAGATTCCTGGAGGTAGTTGTGAGGATTAAAGTCTGTCTGCAAATTCATAGCTTAGTACAGAGTACGAAAACAGTAAATACTATATTTTATGATCCTAAGGAGAATGCTTTTATCTAATATTAGACCTTCTTTAAACTAAAAATGTGTTTTATAATAAGCCATTTGTCAGTTTAATTGACAGTTTTTTTTTTTTAGTGCTCCACATAATGATGCATTTTACAGTTAAAGATGCTTAGATTTGATGAACAGTGGTTCAAAAATAGGAAATATATCCATTATTTCCTTATTGGCTTTCCATAGCGCCTTGAACCACTGAGTGTTCTTACTGATGCTCCTATACTCTTCAGAAATTCTATCCAGAGCTGTTCAAAGTGTGGTGCTGGAACAGCACCAGTCTGTGGATGTTTGTTATCTGAAGCAAGATAAACTTAGAGAACTTGAGAGTAAACATTTAGAAACTTTCAAAGCAGTTTGATGGGTGGCTGTGACATTCCAGAGTGTGACCAGTGGTTTGGTCTTATTGAACCAGGGTATGGACCAGGGAGGAACTCACATAGGGAGCCTCACGTGTTGCAAACTGCACACACGTCACGTGCAGCTGGATGAGTTGGGACCTGTGACATGTTAAGGTTCATTTACCAATGATAACTCTAAAGAATATGAAAATCTGAGAATAACCATTTATTTCTTTTTATTAATTGTTAATTTTATAGCCATTTTCATTTTTAATCAAGCCTGCTTAAAAAATCATTAAGACATTGGGATCAAACTGCCTCTTTGTAGTTCAACCATTTTTGATAGCACTTTCCCTTCTAACCATTTTCAGCATGTCATAACAGTTGTTAAAATATCAGTTCCATATTATCATAAAATGAAATGAATAATCCAAAATTTAATACATTAACCTTTACATAATTAAAAATTCTTAGTATATCACTATGCACACTGTTAAGTTCATTTGGTGGTTTTGTTTTTTCTTTTAATAACAAGACTTCGTCGATGAACCAATGTGTTGATGTATTTCATGGCATGAATTCCTTTATCTGTATAATTACCTAAAACTGCTTTTTTGTCATTTCAGCTCTACTACCAGAGCATAATCGTACACAAAATTTAAGCTCCAAGTCACATTTCTTGACAATGTAGTACTTTGCATTTTTATATAGTTTGTAACTAGTGTTATCAAGGTGAAAAAAGAAATAGTTCTTCCTTTTTATCACATCATGTTCAAATCACACACATACTAAAAGAATCACTATGCTAGCAATATCTATGCATTCATCATATAAATAACTGAACATCAGCTTCTGTTGGTTTATTTTGTCTTTGAACTCATTTCTTTTTCATGTAAATAACAAGTAAATTTTAATAGTTCCTTTGCTTTGTAAGCTAGTATGTCCAGTACCTTTTTGCAATTAACACAAGTGTGGTTTTAGCAGTTCACAACCGGTAATGGCTATAAAGCTCAATATATGAGGAATCAAAATTTCCAGGTGAAATTACAATGAACTCTGTTGGTCTTCATTTCTTTGCAGTCACTTCCATTATTATCATTTGGTTCACCACAACAGTTACAGTCAGAAAGCTTTGTCTTTTCTTAACAAGACCATCTAGTGAAGCTTGTTTTGCCATCAGTATATTAAGGTTAAAAATGAATAATACGAATGTATTTCCATTATTTGCCTAATATTAAATTATAAATTAAAAAACAGATTTTCAAAGAAGCAGTGTTTTTTAAATTCAATGAGGTTTTTTTTTGATCAATATTTCCCTTTATGGATCATGCTTTTAGTGTCAAGTCTAAGAACTCATCACTTAGCCTAAGTCACAAGGAACTTTTCCTGTGTTTTCTAAGACTTCTGTAGTGAAATGTTTTATATTTAAGTCCATAATCCATTTTGAGTTATATCGCGTCCCGCCACCTAGGGCGACGGCAGGAGAATGATCACCGAAGGCCTGGTTCATTAGGAATCTTTATTATGGGCGTCCGAGCATCCATCTAGGGAAAGGCAAAAGCAAAAAACAACAACCACCACCACTTCCTCCAGGGCAGCAGCTTATATAGCATATCCCAACCAATCAGCTGACTGATCACGCGCCAGGTTCAGTCTTATTGGAAACATGTGAAAAGCATGCTATGAGCACGAGCACGGAAATGGGGACAAACCAATCATGGAGACTTCCTTATGCGCTGAGCTGTAGGGCCAGGAAGGGTGGTGTCTAGGAAGTAGGCGCCATCTTTAGGGCATTGTCCAGCTAGAGTGGGGCACAGCCTGGGCCGTAGGCCGGGCCCCCACAGAGTTAGTTTCTGTATAATGTGTGAGGTTTAGGTCAAGGTGCAGTGTTTTTTTTCTACATATGTCCAATTGTTCCAGCACCATTTGTTGAAAAGGCTATTCTTCTTCCATTGAGTTGATTTTGCATCTTTGTCAAAAATCATCGGGCGTATTTGTATGGACCTGTTTCTGGTTCTGTATTCTGTTGCATTTATCTATGTGTCTATCCTTTTCCAATATACACTTTGGATTCCTGTAGTTATGTAGTAAGTCTTAACATTGGATAGACTTATGCCTTCCACTTTATTCTTCTTTTTCAAATTTGTTTTAAGTATTATGGTGTCTGTGCCTTCCTATATAAATTTTAGAATTAGCTTGTCTATTTCTACAGAAAAAATTTGCAAGGATTTTAATGGGAATTGCTTTAAATCTATAGATCAATCTGGGGAGAACTGACCTCTTTACTATGTTGATGCTTCCAACCCATGAACATGATATATCTCTGTTTATTTAGGTCTTTGATTTCTTAAATCAGTATTTTGTCATTTTCAACATTCAAATCCTGTATGTGTTTTTTTTTTAGATTTACCCTATTTGTTTTCTTTGGAGCGATTGTATTGTGTTTTTACTGTTAGCTTCCAGATGGTCATTGTTAGTATATAGAAATGCAATAGATTTTTGCATATTGATCTATATCATGTGATCTTGTTGAACTCACTTATTGGTTCTAAGGGGATTTTTGTCTTGTTTTTTAATTCCTTGGTGTTTTATATATAGACAATCATTCCATCTGCAAATAGGAGCAAATATTATTTGTTTCTTCACATCTATATGCCTCTTATTTCTTTTCCTGGCTTTATTTTGCTATTTAGAATTTCAAGTTCTGTGTTGAATACAGGAGATGAGAACAGACATTCTTGCTATCACTGATATTGGGGGGAAGCAAATTAAAATCATTCATCCTCTGAAAGACCCTATAAAGAGGATGAAATGGTCAGCTACAAACTTGGAAAAACTTCAACATAGGTCTTATATTTGGAATATATAAAGAACCCTCAAGACTCAAAGCTTAAAAAAAACCCAAAACAAAAAAGCAATCCAGTTAGAAAATGGGTAAAGGACAGGAATAGATACTTCACCAAAGAGGATATATAGATGACAGATAAGCACATGCTCAGCTTCACTTGCCTTTAGGGAAATGCAATTAAAGCTCTGATGAAATATTATTAGACATCTATCAGAAAGGCTAATGAAAAAATAGTGACAACACTGAATGCTGGTAAAGATTTGAAGAAACTGGATTAATCATACATTACTTGTGGGAATGTAGAATAGCATACCCATTCTGGAAAACAGATTTACAATTTCTTTAAAAAAAAAAAACTAAACTAAATTAAACTTACCCCAGCAATAGTGCTCGTGGTTTTTTATCCCAGAGATATGAAAACATTTTCACAAAAACCTGGACATAAATCTTCATACCAGACATATTCATAATAGGCAAAACTGAAACAACCTAGATGTCTTCAACAACTGCTACATGTCCACAGCATGGAACTATTTAGCAATAAAAAGAAGTGAACTATTGATACAACCTAGTCACAAGGAATTAGTGTGAATAAAAAAACCTCAGAAGGTTAGATATACTATAGGATTCCATTCATATATTCTTGAAATAAAAAGATTATATATAGAGAGAATAGATAACTAGTTGCCAAGGGTTAGGAGTTGGGGTGGGTGGGTAGTTCTAATGTTCTAATCAAGAGTTACATACCTTGACTGTTACATGAATCTTCACATTGGTGGTAACATTGCATAGAACTGCACATACTTACACAGAAATGATTGCATATAAAACTAACAAAATCTGAATAAGCTCTGGATTGTACCAATGTCAATTTCCTGATTTTGATATTACACTACAGTTATATAAGTAGTATAATTGGGGGAAATTAGGTGCAGGGTACACAGGATTTCTCTGTACATTTTTTTTGCAGCTTACTGTGTACAATTGTTTAAAAATAAAACATTTTTAAAGGCTTAAGTTTTTAAATTAAAAAATGACAAGTTATAAAAATAAAGGAATGCTTACATTTCTCTAATTTTTCTGTACTTTGAGAATATAGCTGACAAACTTAAAATTTCTTGAGTCAACATGGTTCTTGCTGCATGTGACTAGTCCTCACCTTGTACCACATGTGTCTCTGCAGGCAGGTTTCATTATCACCCGAGCTGTTCTACATTTTGTTCCACTGATGGTGATCCTTGAATCTGCACTACCGTCAGATTGCCAGAAGAATTTCTAAATGTGTACTACCAGTTTCTGGACTCGTCTCATTGTTGAATAATAATAACAGCCCTTTGCAGGCCTGCACTAGCTCAGCAACCACACTGGGTAGTGCTGGTCTCCATGCACAGGTGCAGAATTTGGTGTTGAGCCAACTGTTCATCAGGGTCTCCATTTGAGTTAAGAGGGCTCTTTATATGAGAAACAGCTGTGCTGTTAGTGTGGCCAGAAAAAGTCTTCTGTGCTTCTGACTTTTCCAGAATTACAGTGCTAGTTTAAGTTCTCTCTTTGGAGAATAGGAATGTAGACATAGGGGTGAATTTGTTATTTATTTTGGAGAACATTTCTTATTATAAATGATTGCTTCCTGCTTTTTAGTGGAAACCAATTTAAGCAAGTCTTATCCACTAGACTAGGTTAAAAATAATACATTTTATTATGATTGAAAAGGAGACCATTCTGGTTAAATCTTGACATCTCGCTTACTGGAAAGAAGTATGAGTATGCAATGTATGGGTTTATGTTTTCCCCCTCTATGGATAATACAAAATTACTGTCATCCTGTTGTAGTTCAATATCATGAATATAGTGACCCAAGTGAGAGAACAGCATCACAGCATGGTTCAAACAAAGGTAAGCCCTGATCACATAAATTCTAGTAAGAATAATGAATATAAAAATTAACATTATATAGCACATTACAATTTATAAATCTCTTTTACCTACATAAGTTCATTGAATTCTCACCAAGAAGACATTAGTTTTTGCTTTTTACTGATGAATTATTTCAAGTTCAGAGCAATGAAGTCTGTTCTCAGAGGTCATTCAGATAGCAAGTGGGGGAGCCAAGACTCAAACTGAAGTCTCCCAGTACCCAAACACACACTTTGTCCATAATGCTGTATTATTTAAGTAACATATCTGATGTTGTTTTTCATAACTTTCTGGATAGCAATTTTGTGATATTTACTTGCCAGTAAAATGTCAAAATTTTTGGCAGGTCTAAAAAGATAGTCATATCACAGATTAGTTATTAATCATTACTGGGTGTAGTCAAGAGAGTATGGATAATGAAAACAAACAGGTACTCCTCAATCTTTCAGTTGACCAGTTTTTTAGGCCAATGTTGTATGAATGATGTGAAATGCATTTTATTTGAACTAAGGTTGCCTGAGAGACCTGAGGCTACATTTAAAAAAGAAAGTTTGAACTTGATTTATCCTGGGAAAATATAAGGACATAGAGATTGTGAGTCAGTTTCCCTTCCATGCAGTTAAGCCTTCAGTTAACTAGTTCTAGACCAAGAACTTTATTGTGATCATTTATCCTCATGATAGTTTTAAAAATTATATTCATTTAAAGAAGTTCTTAGTTAATTAAATGTTTGCTCTTCTTAGGAACTTTACTTTTGGTTGAAAATTACAACTGTTCTCTGAAAGTGGATACTGGTGTCCAATTACTTAACATTCTGTTGTTTTTCATATATATTTGTATAGGAGCAGTTTTACTTTTGTTATCAAGTCGTACTTGAAGTTCTTCAGAAGCTACTGACTTTCAATTAAGAAAGACTTCTGTTGCCTCACACTTGAAATTACCAAATGGCTTGGAGACTCCTCATAAAGAACATGTTCAAGCTGTGCTGAAGCGATTTGCTTACGCAGACAATGTGTTTCCTTGGGATATCATTTAATTTTTTTTCTGACAGCTCCCTGAAGGCATTATCATCTGATTTAGGGTGAACAGTGTTTACCCATTGGTCTTACTTAGATAATATCAAAATTTTCTCCCATTTTTTCCAATGAAACTAAAGCTACATAGAACAACTCAGCCTATTTTGTTGAAGGATTACAGAGCCCAATAAAGGACTTGTACTATATTCATTAAGATTTTTATTTGGAAAGACAGCTAAAGGGAGCTGAGGATTTCCAGGACCTCATAAAGCCTTTACTCTGGGAGAACACAAAGGGCTCATAGACTGTAAGATGCCATCATCTTACAGGCATTTCAAGACAGATACTTATGCATGGGTTTTAGCTAGAATCTGCTTTTAGTTGGTATTTGAATAACTCAGTTCCCTAAAGAGTCCAATTAAGAGGGAGTAACTTTCTCCACAAATTGGATTCCGTTTTCCTGACCTCCACATTCCAGGGGGTTCCCCAGGGGCCTCAGAGGACAAGCTGTCTTTCTAGAGCAGCTGGACAAGGACCTGTTGGTCTGGGAAGCATGTCAGGATGGCACAGGTCCTCCTCTCCATAACATGAGCACACTGGTCAACAGTCCAAAACTGAAATAGAGGTATGTATAGAAAGTCCAAGAGGAAATTTTTGCCTGGCTTGAGTTCTTTCCTATCCCACCCTAACACTTAACATATTACTCATTCTGCTTTGTTAAAAGCAAATACTACATTTTTTTTGCCTCTTACTCTGCCCTTTAGCTAACCAATAAACTTTGATATAGGCATTACTGTATAATTCTGAGGGTCTCTTATGCCAGATATATTTTCAAACTAAGATCTATGATAGTTATTTTTTCTTCAGAGTTCCATTAAATCATTTCTTTCCATTACTGCCCCACCTCTGCTGTAACATTTAGAAGTTGGCACTGGGAATCAGATCTTGGAAACCCAAATTCGTAGTTGTGAAAACAGTTCCATATTCTGTTTTTGAAAAGATGTGGCCATTATTACATTCATTTTATTATAGGACTTTGCCTCATACAGTTAGTGATATTTTGGTCAGGGAATTTTAGTGACCAGGTATATCTGATTATAAGTTGTAAAGCAATTGATACATGTTTTTGACACTATAATTCAGTAGAGATCAGAATATTCCATGTATTATATTGAGGAAATTTCTAATATTAATTTGTAAATCTTGAATTTTTAAGAAGCTTGTTTTCTTCCCTTGGCTAAATGAGTACTTGAATTGGTTGAATTAATAATTTTCATTTAAAAAATAATTATATGTCAGAAATGTATTTTGTATTAAATCAAATTGTGACTCCACCTGTTTATATTGTTCACATAAATAATAGTCTATGGTAAATATTAATTTAATTTTGATAATTGGCCTTTAATTTTTGTACCCCTAATTTAGTTTTCTCTGTTATTGTAAAATAATAGATATGATATACAACAATATTCCTGAGAAGGATTCTATGGTATTATCTAAATGAAAATACTGTGTTTTGCCTGAAGTACTTTTATTCTTTGGATTTGAAATGTTCTTGTAAAGAAAAATTTCACAATTCTTGCTGGTAAGCATGTCTCTTCTTTAATGTATGCCTCATATTTTTGTAGCTGGACTAATGTTTAGATTTTCAGAGAAATTAAATAAGTAAAATATGGAAATAGTGATTAAATTTGTTTTTATTTCATTTTTGGGAAGTGATTTCCAAATTGAAAACTTTTGACTAATTGAAATACTAAGTTTCAAACCAACAGTCAATAAATTTTTGCCTAGGATATGAATATGAAACTCCATTGACACCTTTGTGAATATATGACTGCTTCTGTGGGGAAGCTTTTAAAATATTTATGTATGAGCATATATGTGTTTATTAACTTTCAACTTAAAATACATATTTTTAAATGTGCATGTGCTTGATGGACTTCTGTGTTGAACCAGAGCTTTTCAGAAATAAACATTGTAGGTTTCATTCTCATGTAAGTCTTGGTAATTTATTTTTCTTTGGACCTTTCACCCCCAGTCTGTCTAGAACATTACTGAATTTTCAATTAAGTTTACATTTGCTATGCAAAGGTCAGTTCAGTGATTTATTTTTATTGAAAAATCTCAAAGGGAAACACCTTAAGTAACTCTAAAAAAAGTTTCATTTCCTACCTTAGTTTTCTTAAACCTTGGGAAGAACTAATTTTCTTCTATACTGTCTTGATGTTCAAGTAATTGACCTAGAAGATTTGGAAAGTATCCATTAAGTAAAAACAGATCAGTGGTATTCAATGGGGGTGATGGATTGCTCAGTGGAATACTCAGTTTGTTTACAGCCACAATAAAAAAGCAGCAAGTAATGATCATATAATGAGACAATTTGAATTAGAAGGGATTTTAAAAGATACCTAATGCAACCGTCATATCTGAGACTTGAATGTGATAAAGAACATTTTTTAGAAACTACTAGCAGCATCCTATTTGAAGGTGAAAAAATAGTCTTCCCATTAACAAAACAATTGAGTATTGCTTTAGAGTTATCTAGCTAATGCAATAAAACTGTTAAGAGTAATTTATATAAATACTGGAAACTTAGAACAAAATGATCTTCTGTGTATTTGCCACATAGAAATAGTAGACTCAACCAAAATAGAGTATTAGAAAAGTCATTAAGAGGTCTGGGTACAAGGTAGTACATAAAAATTGATCTCTGCTTCAGGATTAAGCAACTATGACTCTCAAGTCAGTTCTGACCTATTGCCTGTTTTGTAAATAAAGTTTGGTGCCCATTTGTTTACATATTGTCTATGGCTGCTTTTGTGCTACAATAGCAACAGCCAAGTTAAGTGGTGACAGAGATGATGTGGCCTATAAAACTTAAAATATTTACCCTCTGGCCCTTAAAAGAAAAAGTCTGCCAACCCCTGTTCTTTATCTATGATAGGAAATATATCTCCGAGCAACAGGGATACATAAAATACATATTTTATAAAATATATAAAATACTCAAACTTACCATGAACTTGACCAGTTGATGCTCACATACTAAATGAACAGTAAATGCATGAATGAAAAGAACAAAGATGTTTTTGAAAATTACTTAGGTAAGGGAGAGGGTTCATCTTAGCAATATTAAGAGTATTGTCTAAAGTCACAGTGATTACAACAACGTGATTCTAGTACAGGGACACATAACTGGATCAATGGAACATAATAGTCCAGAAATAGACTCAACAGATTCATATATTTATGAATTTATTATATGCTAAAAGTAGCATTTGAAACCCAGAGCTTCAAAATATATTAAGCAAAAACTAGTAGAAGTGATAAAACTGGAAAGAAAGACAAATCTACAATTATAGTAGATTCCACCATTCCTCTCTTTAGTTGATAGAATAGACAGAAAATCAGTAAAGATATAAAAGATTTTAATAACAGTATGAATCAGCTTGATCTAATTGTCATACACATTTTTTCAAGTGCTCATTGAGCATTTACCAAGAAAGATTATATTTCGCATCATAAAATAAATCTCAGTATAATTCAAAGGAAAGGAATTATATATTTTTGGATTTAACCAGAAATCAATAACATAAAGATATTTCAAAAAATTCAAAGTATTTAGAAATTAACAATGTACTTATTAGTAATCCATGGGTCAAAGAAAAAAGTCTTAAGATGAATCAGAAAATATTTAAAAATAAATGAAAGTGAAAACACAACATCATAACTTCCGGGATGCAGTGACACGTAGGGGGAAAGTCATGTACTTGGTTTGGACCATGTTGAACTTCTATGCATATGCGACCTCCACGTGGCTCTACAAGCCTGATGTTTATAAGATCACTGAGCTGAAGAAGAACCTAGATCTGGGGGAAGGTTTGCCCTGAAAGTAATGCTTCAAGACACGGGAATGGATGTGCTCCCCAGAGAAAGTGAGATGGAGGCCAAAGGCAGGCGAGTGAACATCAACATTCATCACCTTGTCTGCCCTTCGTGGCCCAGTCTAAAAACCACTTCTTCCATGATATTGCCTAACATTCATCTTCCCCTCTGAATCCTTCATCAGTGCTTCTCAAACTCTCTGGTGAAGGACCTGTTTTATTTACATACAGATGGACCCCAAACAGCCAAAATAGCCATCCTTGGAAAGTGTGGTGGGCTAATTTGAGAGCAGCAGCTGAAACTGGAGGAGTATTGCCATTGCTCAGTTCAAAAGTGAAGAAGTGCAAAGAGTGCTTGGTAAGGGCTGGGGCAGTCTAGTTCTTATCTACTCTGAAAACCGGCCATCCAGGACTCCAGAACGCAGTCCCACACTGAGGAGAAACTACAATCAAAACTGAGCAGAACAGATTTAATAAGAATGAAGAAAACAGAAGGTCCAGTTAAAAGTGAGTGAGGGGAACAGCTGGTGAACCTCAGCAGGCAAGTTCAATGAAGGTACAAGAGCTAACTGAACAAACCACCTAAAAGTTGGGAAAACTAAATCCACATAAAAAAATGACCAACAGGAAGTATCATGATCAAATCCCACATAAGTTACTGTAAGAAAAAAAAAAGGGGCTAAGGATAGCATCCCTACAGACATTAAAGGTAATCAGAAAGACATGCTTAAAAGACAGACTGAAACTCTGACCTAGCATTTCAAAATGAGCTTAAAGACACTAGGAACATTATGACACTGAAGAACCACAAAGATCAGAATTAGAAAAAAATTCAAAATAGTATGACATCAAGAATTGGAGCAAAAATATAAGAAATGAAGATTGAACTAGAAGGAATACAAGTAAATAAACAACAATAACTTATGCCATAAGGGAAGTAGGAGGTTTAGAGGACGAACAATTTCAAAACAAAATGAAGAAAGAAAACAACTTGACAGCATGGCAAACATCAATATTGGAACATCACAGGACACATAGGAGCATATCAAATAAGCTTGACCAGTACCAAGAAATGTTTTGGTAAAATTAGTGAAGTTTGGAAAAAAAAATGCTTTGGGCGTCTATACAAGAAGAATAAAATTAAATTATTATCAGACTTTTTTTATGGTAATACTTTATAACAAAAAAATGAAGTAATATGTTTAAGATATTCAAGGAAATAAAATACCAGCCGAGGAATTTATATCTAATAAAACTGACCTTGATGTATAGAAGGCAAAAATTGATGGGAGAGTGCAGAGAAAATTTTTTTAAAGAGCCCTTCCTAAAGAATCTATTAAAGAACATGCTTCAAATAACCAAAATGCTTGGAGAATCACTGACAAAATGGTAAGCATTAAACATAAGTATTTCTAATTATATATTTGTATATATAATATATATAAAATGCTTTATACATATTTAATGCTAATAAGTATATGCATATGTATTTTTTGAAATATAAATGAAATATACCTGAAACTAATGTTATATGTCAGTTATACCTCAAAAAAAATGGAAGAAAAGAGAATATTATGAATGAGTTTATACCAATAAATTTGAAATGGACAGAGTCCTAGAAAAATAATAAAACCAACACAATCAAAATAGAAAACTGAAACTGAAATGAAAAGGGGATGTGAACTCAACAGCCCAACCAGGTTTATTACTAAACCTGAGAGGGACCCCTCTTTTCTGGCCAGCAGAACAAAGAAGGGGTCTCTAACAGGTCAAGAGGCTTTTTCTGGCCAGGGTTTTTGGCGGACTCTCTGAGAGGAGGGGTCAGGGTGGGCTTGCAGCTTGCTGATGTGTCCTCTGGAGAATGCTTGTAGCCTAGGTAAGATGACACCTAGGTCCTGCTGAGATGGCGGGTGGGTGTATTCAAAAAGGCGGTATTCCTGTCCATATTCTATCAATAACAGGTCTACATTTTCAAAAGTACTGATTCATAATTAAAATCATTCTTCACTGACAAGTTCTACAAAATAATTGAAAATTACTCCAATCTTACACAATTCTTTGAGAGAAAAGACAAAGTTAAACATAAAAAAAAGTTGGTACCAAAACCCAAAAAAGAAAACTATGAGAACAAGACAGGCCAATTTCATTCATGCATGTATGTATCCTAAACAAAGTAGTAGCAAGCTGAATTTAGAAATAAACTGTTAAAAGATCATTTTTAAAGAAAATATAATTATTACTCTCATAATTTAAAATATATACAATTCAAATATTTCATTTAATTCATTGCTTAATGAGAGAACTCAAGCTGGTTCACAAGAAAATTAAAAAAACACACATAAATGCTGAAATTTTCAAATAGGTAATAAACTAGCTTTTACCATAGAGGGTAGAAAGAGGAATCAATTGTCCCTCCACTGGTCAGAATTCACTCATATGTCTATGGATAAGAATCATTTGTATCAGTATTAGTTATCTACAATTTACAGAGTTGCAAAGTAGCTCAAAGACTATCTAATATGTAGTTCACATAAAATGAGAAAACCTAAAATTAGAAAATTCTTAGTCTTTCAGTTGAGAACACCAAATAATCTTGGTCCATTTCAAAGCCTTTCACAATTTTTCCTGGCAATATACAAAGTATTTTATGTCATGATCAACTGGGTTTACTCTAGGAATGCCATATTGGTTTGACATTGTAAAATCAATGAATGCAGTTCATCACACTAAGGAATCAAAGGAGAAAATCCTATGGACAGCTGAATAGATGTGGAAAAAAATTCTGATGGAATTTG